GTAATTTATCTTCAGGAGACCTTGCACTCAGTGAATTAAAAGGTTTAATGGGGAAGGTTTCAAGGTTTTCTCACAGAAGTGCATTGCCAAACGAAGGCAGTTTAGCTGAAAACCAGATTAATCTACGTGTTCTCTTCACTGGTTAAAGATGTTCTCCCAGGGCCAGTGTCAAGAGGAAGTTGAAGATGTGCTGTCCTCTAACCATTAACAGGTCCAAGGGCTGAACACAAGGCTGGGGTAGGTTTGTGATATGATACAATAAAATGTTTGCCCAGGAGCAGCTGCAAAGGGTGTTTTATCATGAGCAAACAGTGCAGCATTAACAGTGCAGTACCTGCACTGAGGGGGGTTGGCCTGGCTTGGAAGTCCTGCAGCTCCAAGACTTCTGTCCTGGGCCTTTGCTTTCACCTCTTTATGGAAAGAGCATTTTGTTTTCCAGTTGCTGGTGTGTCCCTTAATACAAGGCAAGGCCTAAAAGCTCTTTATCCCTTCATCTTTCCTTCCTTGCCCTCAGGATTAGAGGCTGTGAGAACAGATTTTAAGGAGGTGCTTAGATAGGGTTGCTCTTGTTCCCTTCTGCCTTAATACCCTGTCAAAGCTTTCTGATCTCACCACAGCTTTCTGCTTTAATGGCCTCCTACAGTTCCTAACTAGATCTTCTTTTCCATGTATTTTCTCTTACCAGTCCCAAAAATTCACAACACTTTTTCATTTGTTTGTTTTTTGGGTCATGCCCCCTTGGTAATGAGTTGTATTTTTTTTTTCCCTCAATAACTCCTGTGCATGGAAGATGTTTTTTTAATTGTCTTGTCTATATGGAAAAAATATTGTCTGTCCTGGCAGTTCTTTGGAGTTATGTATAAAGGACAGAGTTATTCTTTATGGTGTGTCTACTACTTTATTTCCTCCCTCAGACTGTATGTAATTAAACCTCTTGATGGTTGTAATGTCTGTTTATTCTCACCTGTGGTAAGTTTGTGCAAGCCCTTATCTGTTAACAACATCTGTTTCGCTTTATCTTCATTTATCTAAAGTCACCTTTCTTGCTCCCTACAGCCCTATTCCTGCAGCCATTGGCTTTCTTAATTTCTAAAATATTTTCCTTTGCCAAGTGCAACACGTGTTTTTCTAAAAAAGCTGTCGGATGACACACTCCAGTCCTATTCTAATCTTTTTCCTCTGTGGGGTCAGTGATTCCCAGTCAGTCTGAGGTGGTGAAATGACAGTTGGGAGCATGAAATGTCCTGCACTTGCAGAATGTGTGTGAAATCAGGTAGATAATTTCCATCTAGCAGTGGCATCGTCCTGCTGCCACACGAGGGAAGAAGCAAAGCTTTAAAACTTGAATGATGTGCGAGTTACATAAGCCTGCTCCATTTCTGCTGGCCTGAGTGTAATAAAAATACAAAACTGCCTGTCCTATTTAAACATCGCTGCATCTTTGGAAACTGAAAATGGGGCAGTAGTTTAAAACAAACAGCAGTGGTGTTTTGTGGCAGGGTTTCGCTGTGGTTTCATCATGTCCGTTCGATATTCCGGGACTCGCTGCCTTGAATTGGGGGGATTTTTAAACCTGATTTCTCCAGGCAGACATTTCTAGGTCACAGGATAGGATCTTTTGTGTCATGATTACTCTTTTCATAAAGAACAAAATATCCTTTCTTTTATATAGAAGCCTTTCATTTTAGGAACGTGGAGAACTCAGATGTAGCTTTTATAACAAAAAATCCTCTTCATAAGCCCACAGGACCTTTGTATTATTGGCACCCAATTTTATCATGAGTTTCAGGTAATGCTATTTTTTTCCTCAGGTCTGGGTTTAATGAGCTTTTTATAGCAAAAAAATGGTAACATGAAGTACTTGCCTGGTAATTTTTTTTCATCCTCAAAGTGAGTAAGTGGACTGTGAACTGTTCTTATCATTTCACTCTTCATTCCCTGATGAACTCACGGGTTGTAAAAGACGGCAAATGTGAGAGCCTGGGAAAAGGACACAGCAGAAGTTCTGAGCTGGAGCTGGGAGGGGAATCCTGTTTTGGTGGGCTTTGGCAGAGTAATGAGCTGGGACAAATAATGAGGTGACATCAGTGCCAGAGTTTAAATGCCATTTAAAACCAAGCAAAAACTACAGACTCGGGATGACAGAAGATGGAGGGGAAGAAATGTCATGTTGATTAATGTGGTGTTGTCTTTGTGTAAAGAGACAGTTTGACTGTTTTCTCACTTCGGCTTGCAAATCTGTTTGACAATAGTCCTGTGTGTCAGTACTTTACTAGCTTATTCTTAATGCCACATGATCTGTGATCTTGGGACACTTTATCTTTTATTTGAGAATATCTGCACAGTTAAGAACAGTGTACCCACTAATTTAAAGTCTACAGACTATTTACCCTAACTTTAATTTTTTTTTCTTTTTTTTTTGTTGGTATCCCCAACACTGAAGAGTCCCAAGAAACAGGAATTGTGGCGTAAAGCAAAATGCAGCTACAGGACCCTGAGGAAAATAAATGTATTTCAGGCCTGTGGTGCTGTCCTGACCCCTTTATGTTACACCAAAAAGGAAATGGTGAGGGGATTAAGTGGGAGCTGTAGAACCACCCCAGGTCTGTCCACCCCAGCTGGATTTACAGCACCTGACAAACCATGTGGGGGCAACTCCGGTTAATCGATACCTGAATGTCATCGATGGCACGAAATTCAGCTGTTTCAGTCCAGGCACACTGAAGGTAATACCTGAAATGGGTCATAAAACCCGATAATGCAGGGAGAAATAATATATAGGTTTCTGTCACTCCAGTTTTCAAGTGTCACCAGTTTATTTTCAGAACACTGCCAAGTGATAGTTCTGCACCTGGGAATGCTGGAAGAAAAAGTGGAGAGGGAAGTGACCTGCTAGAGGGAAGGAAGGAGGATGTTAAAACTTGGTGTTCTCACTGTCGTTTACCCTTGCACTCAGAACCTCAGCTTTATTTTTAACTCGGTAGGTGTGTATTTTTCAGAAATGTGAAAGAACTTGCTATGCTAAAATTCCCTTTAAAACTGAGGCAAGTTAGTTTTGCCGTTGCAAAACAATATGTTGATATTTGCCCTTATATTTCTCTATGCAAGCCTAGTAAGTGTCCATGTGCTATTTCTCTACAGTTATTTTTTTTAATGCAAGTATCATAAATACCACAATCTTACTCCCACTGCTGAGTGAGACTTCTTTATAAAACTCTTGATAAGTCAGAATAGAATGGTTAATTCTTGTATGGCCTATATATTCACATCTAGTTATACAACATAAAGAAGCTTTGCAAACACAGGTGACAAAAACGTATTTTAAAGGTATCACTGTCATTATTCTTAACTTTATCAAATGGCCAAAGGAGGAGGTATTTCTTTTTTAATGGAGGCACCTATAGGATGTAAAAAAAAAAAAAAAAAAAAGAAGGAAAGGAAAAGTGCTTATCAATCAGTGTTTTGGCATTTATTTTGTTTAACTTCCATTTTTAAAGTTCTAGTGAAAATGGATGATCAGAGATTAAGTTACAGCACCACATACATTTAAAAAAAGGATCAATGAGTCATTGCAGATTTACACAGGTTTTATTTTCAGCCTTGTACATGCATCTTCTCTCTCCATTAAAATGGAATAGTTTGCTTTGCTTTGCTTTTTTTTTTGTTTTCCAGAGGCTGCAATACAGAAATTTGGGTACTGTTCAAATTGTAGAGAGTAAAATTTGCAAATCTTAGTTACCTCCTGATGTGTCAGTCTGGCCAGTGTCATGGAGAGCCTTGGGAGGAAGCAGGAGAGAAAAGGGGGGATTTCAGAGAGCCTTTAGGGATTGTTTTAAAATGGCCATTGAAGGACTGGTTTCACTGTTTGTGGTCAAAACTCATTTAGACATAAATAAATAAATATATCTGGGTTAAGGGTTCTAGAATTTGATCCTGTGTTTGTGATAGGGAGTTTAGATCTTTAGATTATTTTATATTTATTGTACATCATGTATGTGTATATTCATATCTGTGGGGGATGTTGGTGAGGAATACAGCCTAATGTTTAAAGAATGGTACATGGATCTTCATATTTGTGCTTGTAACATCTCTGTTGGGCACTTGACTGACCTGGTGTATTGGAACACAAAGCTGTTCTATACACTCCGAGATGTTTGCAAGGGCAAACATCTGTAACATTGGAACCACCACCCTCTGGGGAAAGAACCTTTTCCCGAGATCCAGCCTCAGCCTCCCCCGACTCAGCTCCAGCCTTTCCCTCGGCTCATGGGAGTGGCCAAGGGAGAGTGAAGAGATCGGAACGTGCCCCTCGGGATGCTGCTGAAGACCCCGACGAGGTCTCCCCTCAGTCTCCCCTTCTCCAGGCTGCAGAGACCAAGTGCCCTCAGCCGCTCCTCACGCGGCTTCTTCACCATCCTCATGTCCCTCCTTTGGACGCTCTCCAGTGGCTTCACGTCTTTTTTTTTTTTTTTTTTTTTTTTTTTTTAATATTGTGGCGCCCAATACTGCACACAGGGCTCCTTTGAGGGGCCGTTCCTGGAGGCAGAAGGCGCTTTAGTGCCGCCGGTCCCGCTCCCCTCACCGCCCGGCCCCTGCCCTGCCCGGCCATGGCGGCGGCGGCGCCGTACCCGGTTCGAAGATGGCGCCGCGGCGGGCGGGACTTCCCGCGGCCGAGGGCGGGCGGCGCAGCCGCGATGGTGGCGGCGTGAGGCGGCGGGGCCGGCGGCTGCTCCTGCCCTCGGCGCGGCCCGGGCCGGGCATGGAAGTGGAGAAGATGGATGAGAATGAATGGAAGTACCACGGGGAAGGCAACCAGAGCCTCGTCGTCTCACACTGCCAGGTGCGGGGGGGTCGGCGGGGGGCACCAGCCCGGGCCCCGCGTGAGGGGGGCGGCCCGGTGGGAGCGGCCGCTCGGCCCCGCCACCCGCCCTCGCTCCTTTCTCTCCCCGAGGAGTTTTCCATCCCGGGGGGATCGGGCCCGTCCCCTGAGGGAGATTAGCGGGCGTTTCCATGGCTTATCCCTCGCGGCCGGTGCGGGTGGAGGGGAGAGCAGCCGATGGCCGGGCAGCTGCCGCCTGGAGACGGGATCTGTGAGGAAAAGTGCTGAAAACCCCCCTTTTTCCATCGTCATGCCGGGTGTGGGTGATGTGACAGGGGAAAGCGAGCTGGAGAAGGCGTGTTTTTCCCTTTGTCACCGGCTCTGCTGGCTCCGTGAGGAGTTGGAGCACTCGCTGCCCCGCTGGGCCGGGCTCCCGGCGGTGATTTCGGGCTTTGGCTTTGCCACAGACCTGGGGTGATGTGACCCCTCCGGGCTGCTCATCCACGGCCTCCCGCATTACCTGCTGGTCTGGGGTTTTGAGCTTTTTGTTTGTTCGGGTTATTTTTAGGGAGTGTTTTATTTAAGAACCGCAGTAAAAGAGGTTCAGCACTTAAAGCAGTAGTAACGATTAAATGAAGATAAATCCAATCAAGCAGGCTCTATGTCAGTTTATACTGTCCCTGTATTCGTGCCCCCCTCTCGTGTGTATTATTTACTCAATATATTGGGATATCTGACCTTTGAAGGAATTTATTCTTTCTCTAAAAAGTGCTTGTGACTGTTTTTTTTTTTTCCCCCTTAAAAATGTATTCGTATTTCAGTTTAAAAGGTGTTATGGATTGGCCACAGAATGTTCTTGATGCTTCATAGATCTAAACCCAGTAAATCTGAATGGTAAAATGCAGACTTTTGTATAGAAAAAGATCTATAGCAAGAGTTGAATTTTGACAGCTGTTTCTTTAGATAACATCAGAATGAATGACTGAAAATACTGGATTCTTCTGATGTCTGTTTTCTGGATTATAAATATAAACTAGATGTAAAAAAACATTAGCAAATATCAAGGCTGAGAAAATGCTGGAAATCCTATGGTGCTCTCCAAACTTCAGGAGGGACACTTCTGTGACTCTGGCTTCTTTATATGAAATATTTTTTAAAAGCTGGTTTTGGTGCAAGAAGTATGTGTACCATTTTATTTCCTGTCACATTTTATCTTTGAAAAAGGCACTTTAGAAACTACTCAGTCACTGGATGACGGGAATCAGGATATGTAATGGATTAATAGTGATGTAATTGTGATAAGATGTGGAAAGTGAGGAAGTCTGCCAGTGATTCAGAATAGCTGCTGAGTGTGTCAGTTCTCTTTTTAACAAGATGTTAGAACTTTTCATATGGAGTGAAAGTGAAATAGGTGTAATTTTTCCTTTATGGACAGCTCTAAAGCAGTAAAGTTTACATCTTGCAGCTTTGTATCTGCTGATAACAAACTCTTGGAGCCTGTAAACTTGGAGCCTATAAAATAGTGTTTAGATGCTAATTGTTACTTTGTGCCTCTTACAAACAGGACATACTGGCACGATTAATCATCATTCTCGTGATCTGGTGTTAAGTTATTCTCAGGTTTGTGTGAACAGAACAGTAGCACAGCTAAGATAGTGAATTCCAATTTGACTGTCCATGTTTCATTCTGTAGCTTTCCAGTCCATGTTTTTTGTGTCTCGGTGCCAGTGGGAGGGATAGTGATTTGGTGTGGTGAAGCAGATGTGAATGGACACTCAGATTCAAGTGAGAGGTCTGGGTGGAGCTGTGTGTGTTTGTTGTTTCCATGTTCTCCCTTTTGATGTGTAGTGGTGTTTTGGAATGTGAGGAGGAAGCTGGTCCCTTAGATCTGTAGGTCTAAGCCTCCCTTCCCTGCTTCTCCTGGAAAACTTGAGAAGTTTTCAGAAACAAAACAGGAATAAAAAAATGAATCCCCGTGCTTCTGGAGGAGAGGGCAGGAGCTGCCTTGCCTTTCATGAAGTGAGGTCCAGGGTGTTTAGCTGGAACTCCTGCCCTCTGGAGCGCTCCTTGGAGCGCTGATAAGAGCCCTGGGCAGGGTCACGTCTCCAGCACGTGGGGTTTGTGGGTTGGGGTGGGCAGGAGTGGGGGACACTCCTGCTCCTGGCTGTGAGGAGCGTGGCTGGACTGGGCATGGACAGCAAGGACAGCACAGCTCAGGGAGCTCTCGTGTGTGTGAGGCTCTGCTGATTTCCTTGGCTTGCTCCGTTCCTTGTACGTTGCCCTTTAAGACACGGATGTGTAAGGCATTGTTAGTCCAGAGCTGGTGCAGCACCGAATTACAAAAGTTGGCCATGGAGAAGTCACATGCCCAGCAAACAGCTCTGCTGGTGATGGGCTGATAAGCCCTGGACGCAGCCGATTTTCCAGGGCATGCAGACAGCTCTGCCTGGCAGGGGGACATGGGCATCCTATGGAACGTGCTCTGCTGTTCTGTCACAGGGCTGTCAGGACTCCTTCTCTGGCTGGTCATTAATCCTGCAGAGTGTAACAGTGATGGGAGGCTCCCTGTGTGCCTGTGCTGAAATCTCTACAAGTGCATCTCTGCTCCTTATGCGTCCAGTGAAGGATAAAGATCCTGAGGCAGGACATGGTCTAGTCAACACATCTCTTTTTACAGACTTACTTTAATTAGTACTCCAGCATTTCGACAGTGATCCGATGAGTGAAGATGGAATGCTTGCCAAGCATTTCCAGTTTCCATTGTTATCTCTGGAGCTGTGTGCCTGCTTGCTTGATGCACACTCAGACTTCTGCTTTCATCAAATTTTTGTTTCAGTTCTGGTGAATCTAAAGTTCCAGGAGATGTACAGAACTGTGGTACAAATTTCTCTGGTGACACAGCTTCTGCTGATATTTTTTGTTTGGTTGGTTTTTTTTTTTTTTTTTCAGCTGTGATTAAGTTAATTCAAATTGGAACTGAATTGTAGTCAAAAGGCCTCTGTGTAGCCTGTGAAATGCTTCTGGTAGAATGAACAGACATCTTTCCTTCCTCATGCATTGAGTGAGAAATACAGCTGGTAACTCTGAGAGGTTGGTGAGACGGTTGGAAAGTTTGTGTGTTCCACAAACACTGCAAGACTGTTAAGGCAGTGTCTGTGTCATCCCTGTCTATCAGTTTCGATTTTGAATATTTGATTGAATCATTGTATCCTTTTCAGCACAACTTATTTGCCACCCTTCACACCACACAGTGAATTGCCCGGTTACTTGTTCTAGTTGCTGTCTCAGAGATGCGTAAATTGCTTGAGGACAGACACAGCTCTACAAAACCCCAACCAGGCAGGTTGCTTCAGAGCCAGCCAGGTGCTTTAGAAAGGAGGCTTCTTATTCCCTGCAGTTTTATTGGAGTGTTGTTCCTTCCACATCAAATTTGGCATCTGATGTTAACAGAGGGCTAAGCTGTGCTTTCCCTCTCCCTCCCTGCTCGTGAGCAGTAGAGGGTTCAGAGGAACCGCTGCAGCACAGTTGTCTCCTGGTAAGCTGTTGTGTCTTTCCATGGTAGACATCCTTAGTTTTTCAGAAGTGAGCTGGAAATCCTCCTTTGGAGCTCTCCCCTTCCTTTAATCAGTTGTTTGCTCTTACTGGGACACTTAACACTTCATTTCAAAAGCCTTCAGTAGGTGTTTGTAGAAAGTAGTGTAAGCAACTCTGGAAGGAATGGCTTGGATTTCCTCCCGCTGTCGGAACTGTGCTCGCAATCTCCAGTTGTTGCTGTGGGAGATGGACTCTGTACGTTCCTCCTGGGCATCTCCTGTTTTACTTTCTGTGTGTTGGGATATTGTGGTAACCAAAAGCTTCATTTTAAAATACATTTGAACATTAAACCTGTGTTTCAGGGTGGTAAAAGACAACAGGAGGAGTTTGTCTCGGTTTTTTCCAGGTTGTTTTATATTCAGTGAGGTGGTCAAGAGAAATCTTGGTGTGATTGTTTTGTGTCTTCAGATGCCTCGATTATTAGTGATCATCTACTTCTTTTCTTGGAGTGTTTGCAGCTCTAGCAGATATCCTTGGGTTTTGGTACAGGACTGAATTGGGAATGCATAAATCATCTCCAGAGGATACGTGAGCTTATGGAATAGGAAAAGGGGAAGGAGGGGAGATGGAGAAGGTGAATGAAACAGAGCTAAGGAGACTGGAAAAGAGAGCTTAGTCAGGTAGTCAAACTTGCAGAAGATTCCCAAAGCTGGTGCCTACAGAAGTAAATAATGTCTGTCTCTTCTCTGTGGTGTTTATTTTTCCTTCAAGACCTGAAGATGGAGGATGTCCCAGTGCCACTTTTGCAGGGAACCTTCCCAATTATTTTTCTGAGTGTGTAGGGGACTGTAGAGAGCAGAGGTGCTGGGAGAGAGGGGTATCTTGTGTTTTAACACCAGCCTTTGATTTCACTACAGCTGTAGCTGCCTCTGCTGGCAGCTGCATTAGGGTGCTGCAAAGAGTGTGCAGAAAGTCACTGTCTGCATGTGGGGACAGAGACTTGGTTTGGGGTTTTGAAATAAAATAATTCTGCTTGTGGGGGGGGAGCTTTGTGTCAAGTCAGGGTAGATTATTGTTCCTTTTAATGCTTTTAAAATATGAAATAGTTTTCCCGTGGCTGGTTGGTTGGTTGGTTGGTTTAAGAATAATGACAAATGATTCAGTTTTGCTGCAATAAACTTAACTTGAAGAGAGGACAGAATTGGATGTTTAGACAGAAGGGTGTTTGCTGAAAGTGTGGAATGCTTAGGGTTGGAATGACCAGGTTGCTGCAGCTTTCCTCTGATCCTGTTTGGCAGAAAGGGGTGATGCTGATCATTAATTGCTGTCTCATTGAGAGAATCTTCTTTAGGTGCTTTTTCTGATAATGTAATTTTGCCTAAGTCCAAAACCCTGCATGTCCTGCTTCTTCTTCTGTTATTTTTCTACGTGAAGTTGCCTGAATCTGTTTTGTCCTATTGAAATGTGTGGAAGTCTTGCCCCCCCCCAAGCTTCCAAGTCATTCCTGAGAAATTCCAGATCCCTGACTATAAAGCAAATTTTGTTCTGTTTTCTGTTCAGTTGTGTTTGATTGTTTGTTTGTTTGTTTGTTTGTTTTTCCCTTAATGCCTATGAATTGATTTCAAGGAAATATAGAACAGGCTGCTGATTCCTGTGTTAAAGGGTCTTCAGGTAGGGAAAGGCACTGAAAAATGGGTTGCTGTTCCTTGTGGTTATAAATAGAATATTTTATTAACAATGGTCTTCTCTGAATATTGCTCTGATTTAAAATATGGCCAAGTCCTGGTCTCCTGGTTCTTTCACAGACAGACATTACCAGAAAAGGTAAAACGCAACTGGTATTTGTTGAATTTTATTTTAACTAGTGGAAAAGGCGTAGTTTTTGTACAACTTGAACTTAAATAT